CTCTACCCAGGGGGACAGCTTGAGGCTCTGTCTCAAAAAAAAAAAAAGAAACAAAACAAAACTGAATCTTCATGGAATTGACTAAGAAGTTGAGAATGCAAGATTCATTTTCAGAACAGGAGTCAGGGCTGGGGAGAGAGAATTGTAAGTCATCTTCATAGAACTAATAGTTAAAACAAGAGGTTTAAGTCTTTTCTTTTTCTTTAGGAGGTTTAAATATTAAATTCAGCTGATTAGTAAAAGTGCAAAAATTAAAATTAAAAAAAAAACCCAGAAAATTAAAGTCTTTGGGGGGGGGGGGGGGGTAAGGGGGACAGAGTCTTACTTTTACTCTTGAGTTGCCCAGGATAGAGTGCTGTTCACTTGAGCCTAGCTCACAGCAACCTCAAACTCAGAGTTCAAGCAGTCTTGCTTCCTCAGCCTCCCAAGTAGCTGAAACTATGGGCGCCTGCCATGATGCCCACCTAATTTTTCTATTTTTAGTAGAGATGGGGTCATAACCTTGCTCGGGCTGGTCTAGATCTCCTGATCTCAAGGGCCCACCTCAGCCTCCTAGAATGCTAGGATTACAGGGTGAGCTACACTGCTGTCTGGCCTGAAGTCTTTATTTAGAGTTTAGAAAAAAGCACACAGTGCCTTCTCATCTGAACCTTAGCATAACCAAGAGAAAAACTGGCAGAGAAGGAAAAAAATCAGAAGACTGTAATGGCAGGAAGCAGTGACCTGAGGTGAGTATCTTATGAGGAGAGATATTGTGACACTTGTCTTCTGCCATTAGAGTAGACCAGTCTTCTGAGGTGTTTGGCAGAAAAGGGAAGGAAATGGATGGAATAAGGCCTACAGGTATAGAGGAAAAGTACATTGTTTATTTAATAAATATTTATTGAGTACATGATTTATGCACTGTACTGGGCGCTAGCCATTCTGAATGAACAGATATTGTCTCCGCCCCTAAGGAACTCACAGTTCAGAACCTGAATTTTCCCAAGTGAATGATTATAAGCAAGCCACTTTGTCATTTGTATCCTGTGTATCCATCATAATTATAGATGAAGATGTAATTACATATTTCCACTGGGTCCTTATTAAGTTACTGATAAATTTATATTCTTTGAGAAAAGTCAGCCATGCAGTATTTATGTTGATAATGCCTCACAGGTATATAATACTTTATACCAGAGGTGTCCAACCTGCAGCCCATAGACTGCATGCTTTGCAAGAATGTTTTTGTTTGGGTGGCACCTGTGGCTCAGTGGGTAGGGTGCTAGCCCATATACCAAGGGTGGTGGGTTTGAACCCGGCCCTGGCCAAACTGCAACAAAAAAGAGCTGGGTTTTGTGGCAGGCACCTATAATCCTAGCTACTCAGGAGGCTGAGGCAAAAGAATTGCCTAAGCCCAGGAGTTGGAGGTTGCTGTGAGCTAGGACGCCACAGCACTCTACTGGGGGCAATAAAATGAGACTCTGTCTCTAAAAAAAAAAAAAAGAAGAAAAGAAAACTTACTTTTCTAATGTGTGGCAGAGCTGGGTTCGCATCCTGCCCTGACCAGCCAAAAACAGCAGTGGCAACCGCAACAACAAATAGCTGGGTGTTGTGGTGGGTGCCTATAGTCCTAGCTACTCAGGAGGCTAAGGCAAGAGACTCGCTAAAGCCCAAGAGTTGGAGGTTGCTATGAGCTGTGACGCCACAGCACTCTACCAAGGGTGACAGAATGAGACTGTCTCAAAAAAAAAAAAAAAATCTAATATGTGGAAGAGGGTAAACAAGGGGCTGGATGTGGTGGCTCGTGCCTGTAATCCTAGCACTCTGCCAGTCCAAAGTAGGTAGATCCCTTGAAGTCAAGAGTTTGAGACCAGCCTGAGCTAGAGTGAGACCCTGTCTCTACTAAAAATAGAAAAATTAGCTGGGTGTCGATGGCGGGTGCCTGTAATCCCAGCTACTTGGGAATCTGAGGCAGGAGAATATCCTGAACCCCGAGGAGTTTGAGGTTGCTGTGAACTAGGACACTATAGCACTGTAGCCTGGGGCAA